GGGTTCACAACCACGCCTGAAATCTCGATTATCACTTTATCATGCGAGAGTATAAAATGTTCGGTGACACCCGAACTTAGCCCTTCCTTACTTGTTTTGTTTGGTTTCAATTCTGATTTCGACAACTATCAGATTCCACAACACCCCTGAATGTCACATTTTCTATCTCCATTACCATGAAATCTACCCGGAGGCTTTTCCAACACCCATTTAAAATGGGATTCTTAATTTCTCTTACAGAGAAAGTCTTGCAGTCTATGCGCTTTTTAAATCGGCCGTTTTCCACACAGGTATTACATTAATTTCGTTATTTGTGTCAATTTCGTTTATTAGGTGTTAAAGCAGCAAAACTTTTAATTTAGATACTCTTGCACCTTTGGCACAAAATGATTTAACCCTTCTGCACAAATTGAGATTGTACCCCTCATAAACATTTTGTGGGTCAATATGACCCAATAGCAAAAACACGTCAGTATGGTAAAATTATAATGGCAAACACATTTTTTGTATTATTGAAACATAAAATTAACAAATTCAAAATTGTTTTCAATAGGAGTCAGTAAAAAGTACATCAATTCTGGCAATTTATACACATAACTGCCTTTACACTATGTTGTTTGCATATAAATTTCAAGCATATATCGCAACGAACTGAATGCTTGTTGGAGTTTTTAGTATGTGGATAATAAAAACACCTTTGTCTCTTACCCAAGAAGCATAAAGGAGAATCTTGAAGCTACACAACCGTGGATAAACTGGGAGTGTCTGCTGCGACTGATTCCTGGATGTTTTCCACAACTCTTTTTGCAGAAAGACCATAGGGCATTCGCTTTCGGCGTGCAATGTACGGGGTTACCAAAGATGTGGCCAAGTCTACTAAAAGTAACCGCCGCTTAAAGTTTTTAGTTCTGTTCCATTCGGGATTAAGTTCGGTCCATATAACATATACGTTATATCCCGAAACATCGACCATATTGGAAAAAATTACAACTGGCGATCGTTTCGTTTGGCGTTTACATATGTATGTTGCTACTAATTGGTCCAGCGCATCAACACCTGCTTTAGTCGCGTTATAGTGATGTATTATTTCTAGTTTCTTTTTGTGATCATCCCTAGTCTCTGGCGAATGATGAAGAGTACTCATTACAACAACGAATTTGTATTTCTTTGGCATGTAGGTCACAGCAGTCACATTTTGTGTAAAAAAGAATTCCGAATAATACTCTGGTTTTTTCCTGACGTCAATAGCTTAGATGGGAAGAAACTTCTTGTTCTTTCTAACTGTTCCTACTACCGTTTTGCAACTAATATTAAAAAAAATTTAAATTTTTTAGAACACTACCAGCAAATGAATTGATGTTTCAGTTTTTACGATTTTTTGTATAAACAAGACCTCCAATATAAAGAAATATATATAGACAAAGGAATTTTGATCAAAAGATAAAGAAATGGTTTTAAATAAAAAAGTCAATATTTTGACCACCACTGTATGTATGCATATTTGTCTGTAGGTAACTTTTTTTTCTGTTGTACTAAAACCGTGTGCATGTGTAGCTGTAGCACATGAAACTTTTTATTATCTCTGCTCTACTATCGTTCCCAATTTTTGCTACCGCTACGCCAGACCACAGCATTTTGTTTTTTTTTTTTTTTGCTCTGACTATAGTTTTTTACCTAACAAAACTCGGAGCAGAGCAGAGAACATACTTTTACATTGTTATTCTATGGCTCCCGAAAAAGTGAGGGCGATAGCAATAGCAAAATGATATGATACGGGAATAGCGTAGTTTCTCAAACGCTGTTAAAATCGTAACATAACATGGCATATTTCATTAAAATTATATGATAGTATGTGGCTTAGGGTGATTAAAAAAAAAAAAAAATTTTTTTTTCGTTTGGTACTCTGAAAAATAGGTTTTTAGACACCTCTAGGGTAGCCTCTCCAAGAATGAGTTTTTAATTGCAACAAGAAGGTCCTYCTGAATTTTAGTTTATCATTTGCGAAATGCTGTCGGGTAGGTAGCTGATGTAGCGCACGTTTTGGTCTCTTGAACTCCGTAAATCTGTTATGTTGAAAATACAAAAAGAATAAAGATCCTTTTGTTTACAAATGTATTTCTGGGAAAAGTAAGAATTCATATTTTTGGGGTACTATATAATAATTGTGGCATAAATTCTATATACCAATTAATATAATAAATTCAATATGATCAATGATATTTTTATTTTTGCTTATATGTATAAGTTTGAAAATGTACTTTATTTTTATAATATAACAAAACCGTCTTAATACTCGCTCTTCTAAATTTCATATTACCGAATTGAAAATGCCGTCGACATATGTGCAAATGGGATATATTTGATTGTTTGATGTTTGACGACGAATATCTCGTAAACGCTTAACTTAATCGAAAAATCATAAGAGACCATTTTTATAGAGCAGTAAATTTCCTACAAAACTATGACTCATTATTCATAATGATTTTTTTTTTCATTGAGTTATAAAATTCATAAGAAAAAAAAAGATTCCTCAAAATTCAGATCTTTTTTGTAGAGCATTCTATTTTCTACAAAATGTAAGGAACAAAATATTTTTTCAAGTAGCTGGAAGCGAGATATAAGTTTTTCTATCTGATAATAAGAAAGAATAGAAAACTGTAAGTAGGAGGACCTTCCCGTTACAATTAAAAACTCATTCTTTTAGAGGCTACCCTAGAGGTGTCTAGGAACCTATTTTAATGTGGCTACAGTTTCGATTTTAGAAGTAACTAACTGGGACATTATATATATTTTGATTCGATTCAATTGTGCTCATAAAATGCTATATGTCATATTGCCTAAAATAATAAAACTGTATATTAACATTATTTTTTTTCTATGTAGATCTCTTAAATAAACATCTTACTAAACGAAATGCGAAAAGAATACAACTAAAATGAACAGAATGAATGAAAAAAGTAGTATTAATCCAGATATAGACAAATCGACATCTGCTATGAATGTATATCCAACACAGCCTTTAAACCATGTTACATCGAAACTTGATTGTCTTGAAATGCACTCCATGTATCCAAATGTGCCGTATGTAAATCCATACTGTAGTCCTCGAACTAATCGTCGAAGGCCTCCGTTAAGAGAATCTCGTCGTGTTTCAACGGAACAATCTGGAAGTTTTTTACAATTAAATCAATACAAACTTATGGACCAAATTGGTCAGGTAATTAAATTCATTTGATTTATCTTGAAGAAATATTTCAAAGAGTTATGCATTTAAATACTAATCTTACCTTCCTAATTCCTTAAAATGGTCTTGGACATAGCAAAGGCTCAGCAATAATGAGAATAAATAAGCTTAAGTCTGCGTAAAAAGGTCTTTTTGTTAACGAATCAATTATTTTGAGTTTAAACATGACAAACGGTGAGCATTTCATCAAAAGTTTAATTCAAAATTAAAAAAAATAAATTTTGTACGTTAAACGAGATGCTTCTTATTGTAATGAAAAGTCACGGATGGAAGTCGCTGAAATATGCGGTAAATGTTTGTCAGTCAAGGTCAGTTCTCTTTATTTCAAGATTTTTGTTAGTTTGCATATTCGGATTAAAACCAAAATAAACAATTTCATTTATGTATTGTCTTCTTTCTGTTTCTTGTTGTTGACCACTAAATCAATCCTTAGCTATCCACAATTATCAAATTATGCCTTACCGTTAAACTACTGCTGAATTTGAAAATCGAACGGTATAATTTTTATTATTAAAGGCTCAGTTACGCTCTTAATTCCAATTGATCGCAAACATTTTGGTCCTTAGAGCTGAATACGGTCGCGTACAATGTCAAAATGGCTTAATAATAAATTTCCTTATGAATTTTTGTACATACTTCATCAGATCATCAGATAAACTTACATAAGCACATTCACAGTGCATTGAGTGCACTAATTAATTAAAGCCATTACAAGTGTTTTGCTTGAAAATAAGTATTTAGGTTCAAATTACATAAAAAAGGGGCTAAAGAAAAGAAGAAAAAAATTTAGAAATTGAAATGCAATGTAGAAGCATAAGACCCCAAAGACGTCAAGACGATCGTTGTTGGGGCAAAACGACACTGCATTGTATTGGGAAAGAGATTTATCACGTATCACCTCATTCATACTGGATAAAAATCTGCTATGGTACATAAAGTTCAACACTTCGAGTTATATTTGATAACACTACTGACACTGGATACGTTAAAGTTGTAATTATGTATGGACGAGCCATCGATTCAAGGAAAGAACCTAATGGAAACCATGGAACTAATTTCGATTTTTCACGAAATTATGTTTTTCGGGTGGGGATCAAAAGGTGGGATCCAAAGAACACAGGACTTTTTGAATCTAGCGCCCCCCGATGGCACAATCTACATATATGTATGTCGACTGGTGCGTTAGAATTTGCTATCTTTATCAAGTAAAGTTAATTCGTTTTAAGTGTCAGTATGTTTGTGTTATCAGTGCGAAAATGAGATTCGAACAAAGAGCCAATATTAAATTTTGTTTTAAAATTGGTAAAACTCACCGAAACGTTTCAATTGATGAAACAATTTCATGGCGATGATTGACTATCACGTAGCAAAGTACACAAGTGGTTTTAACGTTTTCAAAGTGGTCTTGAGGATATAAATGACGATCAACAAGTGGGCCAATCAAAATCCGTGATCACCGGAAATTTCATCGAAACTTTGAATTCATCAAAAATCAGCAGAAATCATCATTAAGATTCATGAAAATGGAATTGAAAATCTACAAAACGTCGATTTATCGCATTTTGACCGATCATTTGGGCTTACGAAAGGTGTGTGCTCGGTTTGTTCCGCACAAACTGACTGACGAGCAAAAATTCCTCAGAATCCAACATTCGAAGGACATCATTCAAGAGGTTTATTTGACCAAAAATCACATTGTAACCATTAACCACTTAACCATTAACCGTATTCACCGTAACCGTATATAGCATTGTGCGACTGCTTTATTTTCGAAAAAATGCATTTGCCAATGAAAGAAAAGACGTAGAGGCATTCACTTGCACCGGCATACTCGGGGCCATACCGGGTTAGCTCGTTGGCACTCGTTCGACGTGCTTTTGGACCGTGCAAAAAGCAATATTGAAGCATAAGGAGACTATTTTTGTTCTGTTTTTTTTTATTAGATATCTATTTATCATTTTTGAATATTTAATTGTCTTGCATGTCATTCAATAGCTGGCTTCATTGTTCCTTCCACTCCTTAATTTGGTGCTGGCTGTTATTAACAAAACGTTTGTTAACTTATTGTATTGTTTCACACTTACTTATCCGCCGTTTATTAGAGAAAGAAAATTACGTATTTACAGTAAAAATAATGACTTTTCTTATTTTCATGAGCAAAATAATTTAAATTTGGGCCTTGTAAAGATAAATATACAAAATTTCATTACTGACAACCAATGGGTTGATTATGCTTATGTAATTGTTTTTTTTTTTTTTTTTTTTTTTGTCTCTGCTCGCAAAGCGCTAGAAATCATTTCATTGCAGCATACCTCGGTAAACAACATTGCGTTACTTTGTTTTCTGAGTAAATAAAAAGATTTCTTGCTCTCGACACACGCGAGCAAATCACGTATAATTGGCCGTGGGAGAAGCAAGGGGTGCCCAGGTAAACGCCGGATTTTTATTTATTTTCTCCTTGACTTTTAAACCGCTTTTAATTGTAAATTGAACTAGAGTTTGAACTGGAACTGGAAGAGAAGGTTTATGAGTAATATAGAGGTTCTGAGTCTCAATACCGTATCTCCTTTCGCCAGTTGGAATGGTGGCCTGGAGTGAGTACACCTGAAGGGTCGAAGGAATTTAAGAACTCTACAGGGTTTATAATTGCGTCTCAAGTGTCAGCATCCTGTCTATTGAGATGTAGGTCCCTACCACACATTTTACATGCTTTAATATTGTTTTATTAATTTTTTCTGTCAATTCACTTTTGGGCGCCATGATAGCTCTTTCGCGCAATGACTCCTCGTTAGCCAAGTTTTTTTGTAAGCTCGGAACTACTTCATTAGTAAGGTTGTCTTCCGAGCTAGCAATCTTGCTTAAAGGCTGTCAAAGGKTATTTGACCATTTGTATCCGTCGCATGCGACCTTCGCGTTTGCGTAAAGAGTCGGGAATCCTGATCATTGAAGAATTGGATCCTCATGTTAGTATTCGGCTTTAACCGCTCTACCTTGGCTCACAACCGCAAAGCCTTGAAGGATTTTTATCTCGTTATAGTTTTATTCAGATTTCAGCGAATATATTCCAGGTGCACAAAAAGTGTCTTCGAAGGAAACTATGAGTAAGAATCAAGCTGGCTACTAGCGAAAAAAAATATTAGTTAAAACACATATTTATAATTCAAAAACATTTTTTTATATTTGTCACGTACAGACAAATCGCGTCACGTACGGGACATAGTTCAACTTAAATCTATAATATATGTAAACATMAATATGTAAATACAGTTTTGTCTTGGGAAAGGCAATGTTTTCTGCACTCCACAACTTTCTCCGCTGTTTTAATAAAAATGGAAGTTGAAAATTCCATTTATCGCCTTGGCATTGTCTCACGGCGATGCACTTTTAATCCTTTCATAAATTTCAGAGGATGACACATAAATCACACSKGTTTTTGTGACTAATTGAGAAGCTAAATCAGAAAAGTCCTTGGCTGATTGGACAACAACATGTTCATTTTGGCTCATCATTTTCTCTCTTACAAGTCTTTTGATATTTCCGCCAACTCCGTCTATCACACCTTTTCCATGCGATGTAGCAAAATATTTCCAATAAAAGAGCCTTTTGTACTTTTCGCTCAACATTGATGTTAGTTTAACGATATAACGGTTCTTAAATTCCGATGAAGGGCCGTCACTCCAAATAATTTCCACAGAAGATAAGTCTTCATTTTCTTTATGCATCAAGTCAAACAACTTAGTGATGAAAACAAAAACTGTATCYTTGTCTTTCGAATTTGCATCTGAGCATATAAGATATGTTTGGCAATTGCCTTTGTAAAAACTGGCTGCAGTAAATAAAAGAACACTTGTTCGTGACCAGAGTGCGCTTTGAACTTCATTCTGGTATTCACAGCCAAAAGACATCGCAAAATCAACTTGAAGGATTCGCACATTTTCATTGCGTTGGTCTTTTTGAAATTCACCGGCTTGAACTCGTTTTAAATTAACATGCTTCATCATAACATGGATTGAATCAATAAATTTTTCTTTAAGTTCACCTGAACTTGTTTCGTGGTTTTCTAAACGTAGTTTATTTTCTGAGTTTTTTCCCCCATTCTTTCCATACACAGATTGTACTTAAATCCATAGACATTAATATTTTGTTTGCCATCAGAACAAGTATCACATTCATTTTTCCAGCACTTCGAATCCAAAGAAGGATCACATAAAATCATAGTCCACCAGACGTTACAATAATTTTGTTTCAAACCTTTCAATTTGAACATAAAATTTTCATGAGTTAAACATTTGCACTGGTCTGGAAGTGTGTCTTTCATTAGCAAAATGTTTTTCGGTCTTAGACTACAAAATTTTGAAAATCCAAATTCGATATTAGGAAAAAATTCTTTAAAAATTCAAAAGGTTTCTCGTAGGTACAAAGTCAAATAATGCTTTTGACACTTCTTCTTAATGCCGTTTTCCCAAGCAATGATGAAATCATTTGCACCTGGGCAGGTATACACAATATCCGGACGATAGTAAAATGMTTTCACATCGTCATAACATGTATCGTCACCTGATGTGCTAATGTTTGGGCTTTCTGCTACAGCAATTTCCATTTTACGCGCTAGTTCTGTAAAAACCACTTTTTTCTTTCTTGGTGATTGCGGCGGTGCTTTTAGAGCCTTTTGAACAGCTTTAGATAAAGTCTGTTTCAGTAGGATTTTTAAGTTCAACCCGCTTTTTTGCTCTTTGCAATCTCTTCTTATCCCTTTCCTTAAGTAAAATTGCTTTTAACTCACCTTGAGTTGAGCAATCTTTTAGTCTCATTAGCGGTAAAGTTTGGATCTTTCTCTTTTTGCCTTTCTCGAAATTTTCGCATGCGGCTAGCACTGGTTGATGGTTGCTGTTCGCTCATTTTTGCGTTATTGAGATTTGCAGTACAAAAAAGGGCTTTGTTTATTACAAACGCCTGTAAAAGTTGAAGATGTC